TGAAGTTTTTGTTTATTGTTCTTGTGAGACACTCGCTTTTCGCTTGCGCACGCAGTTACCTTTTGGCCAACCGAGAATAACATACCTTTGTCATTACAGAGCAGAAGTGAACCGCGAATCACGAATCGTAGACGACAATAGCTTATGGCTGTTCCATTTCACGCGACATGTATTATTAATCCCGGCAGCGTTTAAGTCGTCATCTGTCGCTCATGCGATTAAGCGCGCTCCTTCGTGTCGCTGAAACTCGCCACTTGGGGGGAAAAAAAAGCAAAAGAAAAGGAAGAAAAGGATGAACGAAATCGAACGAAACGTTCGATTCGGTGTTGTTGAACGTTACATTGGAATGTATAGGGTGAGCCAAACGTTTAATAAAACATCAAAATACAAGGAAGAAACTAATTTTATTAATATCAAATTATTAAATTCGAGTTTGAAATGAAAAAAAAAAAAAAACACAAGAAGATAGAAATTACATTGTGACAAAATAAATTACATAAAATTAAATTACATAGGAATAAAAATATAAATGTAACAAAATAACCACGAATTTATTTTAGTAGAAATCAGAATATTAATTTCGTTGATTACAAATTAAATTCGAGTTCAAAATAAAAGAAACACAAGAAGATTAAAAAGTTTATAACACAAATTACATTGTGACAAAATAAATTACATAACTGAATTACATGAAAATGAAAATATAAAGATATAAATGTAGCAAGACAATTACGAATTTATTTTGGTAGAAAAATTAAATATTAAATTTTAAATAATTTAAAATTTTAATATTAAAAATATTAAAGACTCTTAAATTATAAATAATAATAAATAATTAAATTTTAATATTAAAAATATTAAAGACTCTTAAATTACAAATAATAATAAATAATTAAATTTTAATATTAAAAATATTAAAGACTCTTAAATTATAAATAATAATAAATAATTAAATCTTAATATTAAAAATATTAAAGACTCTTAAATTATAAATAATGATAAATAATTAAATCTTAATATTAAAAATATAAAAGACTCTTAAATTATGAATAATAACAAATAATTAAATCTTAATATTGAAAATATTGAAAACTCTTAAATTATAAATGATAATAAATAATTAAATCTTAATATTAAAAATATTAAAGACTCTCAAATAATAATAATTATAATAATTATATAATAATAATTAATACTTATACATAGTAATGAATAATTAAATTTTAATATTAAAAATATTAAAGATAGAAATATTAAAAATATTATTCTCGGGCCGACCCCCATCCTTCTCCCTTTGCTCGCGATTTCGCCCAAGCCAGCGAAACTCTCCAACCGAAATAATAAAATAACCTCTCATTCATATATTTATCGATCGACAAGGCTGCCTCTTTCGATCACCAAAACTCTGTAACTGACTGAGAACGCTTGATCGATCGGTCTCGATCCGACACTCTTCATCGCGAGTGCCCGTCACCCTATTCTTGTATCCCGCGCGTCTGTACAAACAAAGAGGCAAGAGGGAGCGGTACTACACTCGACATGCGATATTTAATCCCCGTTCGCAGCGATCCGGTTTCATCGGAGGACAAAAAAGAGAAGAAAAATTGTTCGCAATTTTATAACGAACCTCGCGACATGGCGGACAAAACAACTTTCGGTCGACGACAAGAAGAAAAAGAGAAAAAAAAGAGAAGGAAAAAATGCAGAGGCAGAAATTTCTGGTTGGAACGTTTATTTTCAAGAACGTCGCGCGAATCTCCTCGAACGCGAAACCATCGGTGCGAGCTCGTTGAAAATTCGAAACCGATTGCCCCTCGTCGATCGACGAGAGCACGCCCGACTCTCTCTCTCTGCGCTGATTAAAAAATTCGACATCAACGCGAACAACGGTCGAGAGCTTACGCAACAGAGAAAGAGAGAGAGAGAGAGAGAGAGTATTAATTGTCCGTGGGCAGATTGAACAAAGGTGGAACAAAGGTAGAAAATTCGCAATTCGTACGCGAGACGAGACACTTGACTTTTCCACCCCTCCATTTGCAACCCACGCCCATCGCCGAGTTCGGGCATCTTCCGAGAGTTATCGCGCGTGAATTGCACGCTCGTTCCATCCGTCGAGCTTGAGAGTCGTCCATCTCGAAAAAAAAAAAAGAACACACACGTGCGTGCACGCTCGATATTAAAAACAACGCATGCAACGTTGCAGCAGCGAGCGGCCGGACACGCGCACGTTGTTCCTTGGAGCAACGAACGAACGAACGGCAGAGATAAAAACAATAACAGGGAGGAAGTGACGCGTCGATTTTTTTTTGCGACGCTCGTTTGAAAGATTTAAACGCAGAGCGCACTGAGACAGAAACTTTGTCTGCTTTTTTTTTTTTTTAGTAAATGGTAGTAAATAACTTACTTCTCTTTTATCCGGCTCGAGGCTGACGCATAGCGATCTAGAGACCGCGTTTCCGTGGTTTCAAAATTATTTTAACACTTTAGACTTTAGATCGTTTAGTGTGATAAGTTGAATTCGTGTTGATTTTGGCAGATTTTGATTCGACATTATCGAGTTATCAAAAGTGTGTGACGACGTTTTGAGAAATTGATGGTAACCTCGTCATTGATGATAATTTATATTTATAATTTATATTTATAATTTATGGTAAGCTATAAATATACTTTAGAGAAAGAAAGAGTAGTGACCTTCGTATCTTCTACACACAGTCTCCGAAGTGTACCAAGTTATATTGTCCTCTCAAAACAGACAAAAAATGCATTTCGGAGATTATAGCATTTATAAAAATAAAACACCTATTTTTATATAGTTTTATTAAATAAAACAACTAGTTTCGGAGATAATAGCGTTTATAAAAATAAAACACCTGGTTTTATATAGTTTTATTAAATAAAACAACTAGTTTCGGAGATAATAGCGTTTATAAAAATAAAACACCTGGTTTTATATAGTTTTATTAAATAAAACAACTAATTTCGAAGATAATAGCGTTTATAAAAATAAAACACCTAGTTCTATATAGTTTTATTAAATAAAACAACTAGTTTCGGAGATAATAGCATTTATAAAAATAAAACACCTTGTACAACGACGTTTAGAAAGTAGAGGTAACCACGAGTTTTTGTGGAAACGAGATTTTTTTTTGATTTGCACAAATTGTAATTATACTTGGAAAAATAGTAGTGACCTTCGTTTCTCCAAAGTCTGGCAAATTACTGCTCCCTCGAAACAGAAAAGGAAATATATTTTTCGAACGACAACTAGTTTCGGAGATAATAGCATTTATAAAAATAAAACACCTTGTACAACGACGTTTAGAAAATAGAAAATAGTAACCACGAGTTTCTGTGGAAACGAAATTTTTTTACACAAATTGTAATTATACTTGGAAAAATAGTAGTGACCTTCGTTACTCCAAAGTCTGCCAAATTACTGCTCTCTCGAAACAGAAAAAGAAATGTCAAACACTTTTTCAATAGTTTCGGAGATAATAATATTTATAGATTAAAATGGAACAACGTTCTTCTAAATAAGAAACGTTTGAAAAAATAAAGGTACCCTCGAGTGTTTGTGAGAAAGAAATTTTTCTTTGTGATTCTTTCAGTTTGCAATTTGTAGAACACTGAATGCTAATTAATTCCAAGCATTTCTTTTTTTTTTTTTATCGAAAATGACTGAAAAATGGTTCAAGATTCAAGCGCAACTATGTATCCAGGCGTCCAAGTATCTTCTTAAAACCCGTGTCTATTTAAAAGTTGCATTTCCATGCTCTTCTTAAAACAATTGTCTCAACTTTCGTCTTGATCATTCTTTGAAAACCACTCTCAAAATTCGAGTAGCCACGAGCTATGTATTCCGCTCCATACGTAGATCACTGAACAGTCGTAACACGCTTATGCATAATTAAATTAAAATAACTCAGACTCTTTGTTCACCTATAATTCTATAATCGGTAGTTAAAAGAATCAGCTTCACTTTTCATTTTCAGAATTCCTTTACTCCAGCGCTCGTTGTGCTCGTTGCGCACGTGATCATACAAAATGAACAATATTTCAAATTCCAAATGATCTTTATTCCATGTAGAACAAACAATACTCCTCTCGTCTTGCGGGAGAAAAACATTTCATCGAAACGTTAAACTTGAACAGTCTTTTACGCGATTCTCGCCCCACCACTGTGCGAAACTTGGGAGGAAAACGCGTGCGTTGAAATGAAAGAGAGGAAAAAAAAAAAACAACATGGCGCGGATTCATTCGGCACAATTAGAGGTTAGGTTCGGATGGTAGCGCGATGGTACGTTTCTCTCATTGTCAGTACACTGGGATAGAAAGGGGGACGATTGCGATTTCCTGCATTTCCTCGCACATTTCTCTGAGCGGAGGTCAATTTCTTTCGGGGTCGGCGCATCGAACAAAGCGTTTCAGACATATTCTCGTCAGCGAGATCCGAGAGAAGAGGACGGATCTCGCTGACGAGAGAGAGAGAGAGAGAGAGAGAGAAAGAGCCGCGTGCTCGTCCCTTCCCCAGTGTCCCCACTCCAGGTAATTGAGTAGTGCGTGAAAGCTTTATCGTCCAGGGTGCAAGACTCTTCATTCCGTGTCATTCCATTCCATTGCATCGCATTCCAAGCTCCGATCGAAAGCGTCGGGATAACGACGAGACTCTCTATATATATATATATATATATTACACATACTATATGCCTTTGCTCTCTTTTCTCTCTCTTTTTTCGTGTTCTCTTTACATTCTTTTCTTTTTATCGTTACTTCCTCTCTCTTTCACTTTCATGAATGTTTCTTTTTTTGTTTTTTTTTTTTTCCGCACAAGATATCTACGCTGACTATCGTCACCAATCGCATCACTCATTCAACGTTTCTCGACTTCGATTCCGATACATTTCGCAGCGTATTCTTTTTTTTTTTTTTTTTTTTTTTTTTTTTTTT